CACATGGCATTCAAAATCCCGTACGTATATGACTATATAACAAAATTATGCAGGAAACAAGCAGAAATCATACAAAATCATGAAAATGAGAATGTTCGCAACATCGGACAAGGCAAAGCCCGACACAGAAAGTATAAGAGGCTTAAACTTGGCGGCGGTCAGGCGTACGACCGTTCAAGTGACTAGACTGATGTGGTAGCGAATACTACTAGAAATAGGGCATAATCTGCTGTACTGAGCCTGGATTGACAGAGGCATTGTATATATTGTACATATAAATAGGAATTAAGATTAAATTTGTAAATATATGTAAATACTGACAATGGACTTACTAATAAGAACTATGACTGACAAATGACAGACCCGACCTCTCGTCGGAGATGGTGCACCAAATGGACAGGACAGTAACTTTCATAGAAGGGAAAAACAAAAAAAAAAATTGTCATGCGCCCCAGCCGGGGCTCGACACCAAGACAGACAGACTGACTGACCGTCAGTCGCAATGTGACTTGGATTTGGACTTGAACTTGGACTAGAATTACGATTGAGTTGATAGTTAAGCTTCGCCAAGAGAAGTGAGAAGAGCTGGCAGTTGCAGCAGATAATTGAGGGAGTCTCCGGAGTTGTCAGTTGGCAGAATAATGGCAAGAAAGGAACCAGACTTTGCAAAGAAGACTTCAAGTGTAATTTGAAGTTACAGCGAGATTGTTAAGAATCCGTTTCCAGGATAAGACTAGTGAAGACTGAGAAGGCTTCTAGTGGTTTTTATGTGTGCAGATCATCTCTAGCGCTGTAATTGCCTGTAACTCCGAGTGGAGTATATACGGTGTCAATAAATACAATCATCTGATCCACAACCAATCTATAGTCATTCAACCCTCTAATATGTGACAATAGGTCAGTGATGTTAAACAGAGTGGAATACATACAACTAAGCCATTATTAACTGTATTAGCTCTACTGAGATTGAGGTTACTACTGAAAAGATGAAAAAGTGTAAATCGCCAGGTATTTATAAAATTCCTGCAGAATTAAATAATGAGGTCTTTATACTTATAAATTATGCTTTGGATGAGAAAGGATTGCCTCTGAATTTGAAGGAATATATTATTATATTTTCTATAAGAAGGGCGATAAATTCTCTTTAAATCCATGAATATCACTGTTACAAACTTCATACAAAATTTTATCCTATATTCTCTCACGAGGTAGTCTCCACATAGCAGATCAACTACTGATCAGATTTCTTACGAGTAGTCTGATATGTATCTTATTCGGTATGGTGTGAAACAAACAGGTGATTTGTGGACATTCTATTTTAACTCTGCTTTAGAATACTCCACTAGGAATATCCGAGAGAGGTAGGTGTAAAATTTAGTGGGACACGCCGGAAAGCTGATGATAATCCATGTGTTTGCAATATAAATACTATGAAGAAAAACACAGAAGCACTAAGACATCTTAGTCTCAATGCCTCTTCGGAAACCTCAAATAAATGTATTTCAGAACGTTACAATTACAGGGCCTTCTCTTCATGCTGCGTGTATTGAATTCAATTGTGCAGATGCGTCCACTTCGGTTTCCAGATATGAATAACAGCTGTCGGGACGAAATGATAAGAAGTGTTCCCCTAGGTTAAGTGCTTAGAGGGGACATGAAGCATCATCAAGCACTTTCATGTTACAAAATTTTGCGAAGGATCTGTACTTGAATGGATTCTTTGACTCGACCTAAACAACGGAAAGTGTTGATGAGATCTGGAAGTCAGAAATCAAAAGCAGGTTCATTAAAATGAGTAGCAATGTAATTAGTAGTTGGCCGCGCCATAGCTCAAGCGGTTAGTCGCTGGCTTCCCACCTTGGCGGCCCGAGTTCGATCCCGGGGTCTGGTCAAGTGGGATTTGTGGTGGACAAAGTGGCGCTGGGGCGGGTTTTCTCCGAGTACTTCGGTTTCCCCTATCAATCTTCATTCCACCAAATTCTCCATCATCATAATCACCCGGGGCAGGTAAAATAGGCCAATAAGTGACCGCCGTGCCGACTGGACCCAGTTTGACTCCAACCCCCCACCAAGCGAAAAGGTAATTAGTAAAGTATAATTTAAACTTAGTGGGAGTAAGCAGGTCAGTTGGGATCAACATGAATATTCCAGTTGACATTTATTAAAATTATTTAAAGTTCTTCAGTCGCTCATTTCCTTCATGTTTTGGTGACACCCGTTGGCTTTCACACAATCATATTGTTCCAGGCGATTGCATTCTTTTCCAAGCAGTCGCAGCAACAGTCGTTGAAATTTTATGACCTAAAAGGACTTTCGTTCTTTCAGTGGTTGGATTTGCTTTCGGCTGTTTCATCTCCTAATTTCTTAGCGTAGGAGTAGCGTAGTAATGTCGTAGCAGTGACTACTTTTGTCTCTTCTTAAAATAATTGAACTTTTATTTTCATTTATGGTCCATACTCTTTCCTAGTTTTAATTTTCTTTAATGGTTCCCTCTGCGCAATGCCAGTTGTCTCAGTGGATAAGCTAAAGATTCCTCAGCATGCGCAATCTCTTAGCTCTTTTAATGAATCATCACATTTGTTGGAACACTGTGCTGCTATTGCACTTCAAGAAATGCAGTTCTTTTCGTGTCTTCAGTTTCTGATAATTAACTGTATCATTTTAAATTAAAAGTTATTACATACAATTTCACGTCAAGAATTTATATATTTGCGACAATTTGACCGCCCTAAAATTTAAAAAAATATGGGTTTAACGTTAAACAATTCTTTAGATTTCTTTACAAACAAATTCCCGGGGTCCACGGGTAAATGAATGACGCAGAACACAGGTGTCCCACGACGAGATCGCTCACGACACTTAAAGAACATATTTGAACTCTTTAGTGAGTTCACATTCCCCTGGCGAGAATCAGCACTATGAACTAGCGCAAGTATTCAAAGGGAACGCGAAGAGTGGAAGCAATTCAAAGTTCAGAAGAACATGTAAAATTTTATAAAGGTTAAAATCGTAAAAGAAAATATATTGTAGGTCTTGCATTATAATACAAATTGTTCTAAAATTACTGCTGATTACTCCTTACGTGTCTCGTTATGGTTTATTTTATATTACTTGTTTGCTTAATTAGGGCTTATTTAATTAAATATTCCTTTTATATATTTGTGAATTTCGGTCAACCCAATTAATATGCTTATTCGCGGTTCTATATCTGTTAACGTTTCGATCGAATTTACTTAAAAAGTTAAATGTTCAGTAACCTAAGCACAATAGTGGAATTTCCTCAGTACTAACCAAATAGGTAAGTCTCCATGATTCGTGAAACTAGGGTAAAGTATTTATCAACATTCACATATTACTGTTTCACAGAAAATATTACTTTTCAAAGCGTAATTTATTGAAACAGGATGCATCAAAGAAAACTAAGGACAACATTAGAAATAATTTTAATTTTTTCTTCAATATTTTTATTTTCTCCTTTTTTTTTAACTATTGACGTGGGACATGACAGTTAAGATCCTTAGCCCTAAATTTACATAAATTTCAAATTTCAGCTGAGTTTGAAAGAAGCACAACATAATATCAGAAAATTCATCTTACATAAAAACAAACATATTTGAGCACAGATTCTATCAGTTAAAAATACACATATTGTTCTACACAGCAGAATGTATATTGTAGCAGAAAGGCTCTCATCTCTCTCTTACAATCCTATTGTATTTTAAAATTTCCTAATTGAACTAAGAGTTTACAGCATATTTAATTTCCCTTGCTGGCTGCACTCTTCTCTGGAGTACTGGTTCTGCAAAACTGAACATGGCGATCCAATACTGGCTTGTATGAATTGTGACGAATTTGTTTCTCTTACTTATTTTCTTTATTTTAATATAACAAAATATTTCGTATTAAATACATGCAAACCATAGGAACTATTATATAAATCCTTAAAAATTTTCCCGTGTGAAATATATCACCCTACATCACTCAGTATTCCTACAGTCTTCTTTCAAAATTTAAAAATGCGTTCGTCTTCAGAATCACAATTGCAGAAAGAAACCGTACCTCAAACGAAAGCGAAAACATGCAAAATGAGTATTCCTTACCATAAATGGGCTCACTACATCCCTAATAGATTGCCCAATGAAAAAAATTTTACTGAGTTGGCACTTAGGTATTTAATATGTAGACCTCATTTCATATTATCATTAATGCATATGGCTAAAAATTTTGTTTTTAATTAGAAATAATATCCACTCTCTCAAAGTCCCCCTGATCTCATGGCCATGGGAATTAAAAGTAATTCGGACGAACAAAATTGTTATATATCCGACATCTTACATTTAAGAATATTCTGTATTTAAGCCTCCTCTTACACATGCATATATACACACTAGTAAAAGAGATGCAACAGGAAACTCTATTAGACTTCGAGTGGCTGACTTTGCTGTCGAATTTTTCTGTAGTGAAACAACACATTTATATATGTAATCTATAAGACGCATCGAGATGAGCTTAAAAATTTCATGGTTAGTTGAATGATACTGCCTGAAAAGAACATCGCTTTCTAGATAGCTGATACAAATTATTTCTTACAAAACTGTCTCAGCGAATGATCAAAATATGTTCCTATTCTCTGATCAATAAATTGGTAGCTTAATCAATTAATAGAATATATCATTCAGTTAAAACTGGATCAGTAACAACCATATTCATAGCATATCAATTTTTGAAGTAATAATTAGGCCTACATGTTTCCTAACTATGACTACCTGTAAATTCTCAGTACAAATAAAGAATGTTGCACAACAAGTATTCTTGGGGGGAAAAGGTAAAATTATCCCTGCAACGGGCAGAGGAGGCCCATAGGATTCTGAGATGTTGAGGCATCCACATTTTCTAGATAATCTGCTCACAGATGGCGGTAAGGTTGTCAACCTTACGCACTGGCCGTCCGCCCTTTATCCCAGAAATATTCTTGGTATTCATCACTGTTAGAGGCTGAGTCGACCCCAAGGCCGGAAGGCTGGAAGGATTAAATCAATTGAAAACGCCAATAAAATATTGTTAGGATAATTTACAAGAACTTGTATTTCCAATAATACTTAATATTCAGTAGATATGATGTAACTCCGCGAACCCACAGCTGTTTTCCACCACAAGAAAATGTCTGAACTTGTTACTTTAGCAGTATGCGCTGGCCATTGATTAGACTAAAACGTCTCAGTGAATTACTGTACTGTAGGATATGAAAGAATTCGACTATAGAGTATATGAAGTTTCTTTACTTCTAGAGGCTTCTATATCATGTGTATAATTGGTATCTTGAAAGAGGTGGTTCACAATTGATATGTGTACAATTTTCCGACACTTAATTTTTACGTGACTGAAGGTCGAACATACGTAATTCGGTATTATTAGTCTTCCTTGTAACATTCTTTTTCGATTGGATCAAAACTAATGGTACGAGTAATTGTTACATAAACTGAATTACGACAATGCCACTCTCCTGGGTAATGCTAAACCGTAATAATTCTAAATAAAAAAAAAGTGATAACGCAAACATTTTTATTATAACCATCGTACTGCATGAAGCATAACCATTCTTGAGAAGCTAATAATCGTAGAGCGAGTGAAGAATTTCCCAACCTCTTAAGTAACCTGAATGCCCAAAACAGTGTTCAAAAGCGATCGCAATATACTTCCATTTCCCGATACTTCTGCTTTTCAGTCTTCAGCTTTCCAAGCCCAGGGCTTCAAACTCTTAAGCCCACATTTTTTTTTTCAAAAACGCCCCCCTATCAAAGGTGGAAATAGAGTACTTACATAAAGGGGGTATAACTGATATAATTTGTGAGTTATAGCTGAAAGAATGTGGTACATACATGATGATGGTGTTCTGGCTTCGGCAGATTTTAGCGCTGCTGTGCAAGATGTCCACAATAACACTTCCCATGACCGATGGATAAGTAGAGAAGGACCCACTGTATGGTCTTCAACCTCGCGAGATTTAAATCCTCTGGTTTTTTACTTGTGGGGAATCCTAAAATGCCTTGTGTATGTAGCCCCTTTTGACAACGAAGAAGCACCTCACCATCGCATTACGGATGACTGTCAGACTATCCGGAACTAACCGGGCACTTTTGAACGGATGCGGCGGTGGACCATGAGACGTGTAGAGGCGTACATTAAATCTCATGGAGGGTCATTATAAATGTACTCATTCAGCTGTACCTCACAAATTGAATGTTTCCGGGCACATGTTAATATGGTCATTTTTTCTTGGTGTGGTATTTGGAACTCGTTCCCAGAGTTTGCCCCTACTTTTCAGTTAAATTCTGTATAAGCAGAGAGGGCTTTCGTCCACATCCTACAGGATTCACCATTCGTAATCCTCTTGCTCTGTTTCTTTGTGTAAGCATAAACAAGTAACTAACGCCACATAACCTACGATAAGTTAATGATGGAAGTAAAGTGATAGTACTATGTACAACGAAACACTGGTTCAGTGTAATAATTCTAGGGACAGATTGTAGCGATATAAAATAATTCTTTGGAATTTTGAGACCAAGTAAACAACACGTACATTGTATACATTCATGTGTGTGTACCAAATGTATTTTCTTTCCTATTTCATGCCAACTCCAATTTTAAAGACATTTACAATTCATCAAATGACTATATTGAGCTGGGTTATTTTTGAGGAGCTAATAATCGTCCAGCTAATCGATACTATCTTCTACTCTTCAGAATATGAAACTTAATTGTACTTCAACCCTGGGCCTTATCCCGGGCAGATGCGTCCAGTCTGCATCCTAAAGCATCCTAAATGTTCGTTTGTCCTACCGTCTACAACTGTGGCCCCCAGATGATCTTCAGGTGTTTCGATTAAAGTTTGTTAAGCATTTTTGTATGCATGCATTACACATGATCCGCCAAGCTCATTTGACCACACTAACAATATTTGCTGAAGAGTAAAGCATTCTTGATGTCCATACCAACGACATAGACACAAAGTTTTCTGTCGCGACTGCTCAAAAAGAATTTTTATCTCTATTATAGCAATGTATAAATTCTTCCGACATACACAACACTGGCTACGTCGTTACTTTAATTATTTCAAATTAGAGTAGAGAGTCGACAGTAAGTATCCTAAGGGAACTTAAAATTGGGTGCCATAATTGACCCTTGGCGGGTTGATTTTATTTACTCATGAGGCAATCTAAATTAAATGCCTCAAAAGAGAGAAGCAGAAACTGTACTGTGTCAATAAAGTGAAAGGAAAAATATCTATTCCATTTTGACCCTACATTTAACATTTTTTTTTATCTGTAAGTGGCAAATAAGGGCTGGATTAACGAATAGTCTTTTTGTTATGGCGTCACGTGTAAATGATGCAGTAACATGAGCCGTTGGGCAGCAGTAATGGTGGCCGCTTGGGAACAACAATTTCGGAAGATTTCTTTGTGTACTTGCTCACCATAAAAAGGTACGTTTAATAACATTTCCTTGCCCATTCTCCCTACTGGCCCGGGCTAGGCACAAGCCCCCCCTCCCCCTCGTTTGTATTTTGGACCAAAATCTGTATACAAAGAAAACACTCAAGCAACTGCTCATTTCGACCGTAATGATGACGTAATTGTACCTCCGAAACGTTTATAACACTGCCCACATCCGCACGGTACAAAGATTCAAGAACACAGCCAACGTCAACATTGATATATATGGTAAAAATTAAAATGAAATAAATAAACATTGGTGACATGGCTGACTTGCATTTTGAAGGTATGTATTATCGAATTTTAGCCGGTGATAGGCTATACTCACTGAGATTTAAATACTATTCATGGCTTCCAGGAGATTATTGGGATGGTACCTCAAAATAAACGACAACAGCTGCCCTCTTAAGTTCCTTCTGACTCAGTGTTCACGATAATCCTACAATACCCGATCCGAAGCTATATGACCTTAATTTTTTATATACCATTATACAATAACCAAATAAAACTGCCAAAAACTAGTTTTGATTGTGGTCTTCTGGGTCATTCCTCTCTGTAGTCACTTAGGTAGGTACCATATTTCAAAATGAAGAGAAAGGCAGCATACTTATCTGAAACGTTGATTTCTACCTACAAGATTACGCGCTAATACAACCCAGAAGACCACAATCTGAACACCCATCGCCCTGAAATTAATATCAGAGGTGAAGGTTCTTGTCCTGTTGTTCTGCACATAGAAACCTCTGGAAGCAGTAGCGGTCTCAGGTTACAAGAACTCTGCAAACAACACCCAATAGGTAGCATTTAAAATCGCGAATAGAAGTGGAAAGAAGACCCTTGAAAATCGGTCAATGTTGATAGCCCTGCTCCTGTTCATCTGGCCTGGAGAAGGTAGTGTCTGTGCAGGGGGTTGGCCAGTCAGTAGACGGGAGTTTTCCTGAAAGAAAAAATATGTATGTACAAATAATCCATGCTTGCAATATTTATACATGCGACAGCATGATATCAGCCTTAACAGAAGCCTATTTCATGACAAAAATGTTTTTATATTCTCAAGAACATCTGAGCAGTGTTTCTTTCACTGTGCTTGAGGTTTTTGCTCCACACATTGTAATTGTTATCAGGAAGTAGACGGATTCGATAACTTTTGTAAACATCTCCTAAGAGACAGAGGTTGGACAAGTATTGTATTATCATAACAAGCACTTACATCGGTTATGCATTGATAAAAATCGCCAATTTCAGATTACTGATGTACACGCTAGCTGTATCATAAGGAAAGCTATGACTATTAGCGATAAGTAATTGTTAATCGACAGAACAAGTTACACGAGAGGTTGAGAGTTTGTAT